ATCACCTTAAACAAAATAGGGTAAATACGTAGCATAGTTACGATCTACTGGTAGTCTCGAAAACCTGATTATAAATGAGAAATAATAGAAATTGGCAAAAACGTTTAAATGGTACAAATTAAATGAGCCCGGGCGTTTTAATTTTTTGTCTAATGCAAATCCTTCAAAGGTTGACTAGTGTGGGGTTGCGAAAGGAAAATCTACCTGATTTTCTTTTGCATGATTCGTGGCCGACCCGAAACCACTGTCACTGTTGCTGGGCAAATTTGAGCTACGTTGCGAGGCGTCTGAGCTGTGCCCGGTGCAGGTCAGACTCGAGGCGCCCGGCATCATCTGTTCCTCTGCCATGAGACCGGACTGTGACGGCGTTGGCATGGCCTCGGCCAGCAGGCACTGGTGTCCAACGGGTTCTGACGACACGCCGGATGGCGTCAGGGTGGATGTGTGCTGGCGCTCGAATTGGTACATGGGCTGGAGGTGATCAGAGAGACTGTGCTGTGAGACGGGCTGTTGTCCGACTGAGTGATGGGACTTGTTCACCACCGACGCGTAGGTCAGACTGAGAGGCGGATAGACGGGAAGATGGCAAGAGGCGGTGCTCGAGACGGCCGTGGCCAGCATCGTCGGTCTGTCGACGTTGTCGCGTCCCTCCAAGTTGCCGGGTCGCCGAGTCGCGACGGACTCGGTCCCGGGGAGTGGCTGATTGAGGCAACCGGCGCTCGGCTTGAAGGTGACCACACGAGGCATGGGAAAATAGGCGCGAAGAGGGCAAAAGGGACTCGAACCGGGTGTAGACTCGAGTTCAGCCGAGGCTGGCGCCAGAGACGATGGGCTTTTTGACGGAGGCGGCGGCGGCGGTGGTGGAAGCAGAAGTCTGCTGCTGTCGTAGGCCGAGGTGGAGCGGACGAGTCGACTGGCGACTGTACCACCAGATGGGGCCGGCAACGAGGCTGGCGTGACGACCGGCGGTGCCAAGGGCTCCCGGTAGCGGGAGTTTGAGTCGCCGAGTCGACTGGAGGAGTTGTGCCAGACGAATTGGCCGGCGGAACACGTGGCCAGTCCTGGGCAGACGGACTGGGGCTGAGATCGGCCAGTCGAATGGGCCAAATTGAGGCTGGCCAAGGTTGTGTAGATGGCCTCAGAACTGGACGTCGGCAGAGACTGACTAGCCGGTCGGAAAAGACGACGCGGCAGGGTCAGGGTACCAACATGGCCGGGCTCAGTGGAGCCGGTCGACTGGCGGCTGCAGACAAATCGCCGAGCCTGGCCGCCTGGGGCCATGGGGCCGGAGAGCGTCGGTGACGGATTGTTGGTCGGTCGCGAGGCCGGTGGCAACAGGAGGGGCGGAGTACAGCCGGAGAACGAGGCCTGGGTGTAGAGGAGAGGAGTGCCGGAGAGTCGAGTCCCCACAGCGAGGGGATAACCGTTGCCGGGGGCCGTTGGCAAGCCGTGATGAAGCGACGAGGAGAGTTGAGAATGCAGATAGACGTAGTTTTCCGCACCGTTCAACCCAACCACTTCTGTTGCCAGGGCAGGAGGCGCCTGGAGCGCGTCGAGGCTGGACATGTGCTGCAACCCCGGATGGCAGCCCTGGTAGGCGAGCTGCTCGTCGATCAGCTGCTGGTGGTGCGGATGATACTGATGATTGTGATGCAGATGAGGCAGAGGAGGGAGAGGAGGAGGAGGAGGAGGAGGAGGCGGAGGCGGAGGAGAAGGGAGTTGGTCAAAGTGTTGTCCGACATCGTGAAAGCAAGTGTAAAAGTTGTGGCCTCCGGGCGCAAATTCGGCGCCGGGACTCGAGCCTTGCACGGCCAGATAGGCGCCCATGGGCGCGGGCAGTTGGGCAAAGGGGCCTCGAACAGTCGTCATGAGGCCCGGCTTCCAGGAGACCGGATCGTAGACGTGTTGATGCAGCCGGGCGGCCAGTTGGAGCGGCTGGTCGACGTGTGGGCCGGAGGGACTCGGACCCTCGGACCAGTCGAGGCTGGGAAGAAGGCCAACCGTCGGCGGCGGCGGCGGCGGCGGCGGCGGCGGTGAAGACAGCAACAGCGAGGCCGGGACTCGGATGTGCCAGTCGGGCTGTAGGAGGACAGAGACCCAGGCGAGCAGCCAAAGGAGTGTGTGTCCGGCGAAGATGAGCAGAGCGGCGAGACAGAGGGGATCGCCGCCGGCCCAGTACATTCGCATGAACTCGGCCTGTACCGGCAACTGTAGCCCGATCCCGGTCAATAGGCAGACGAGACCGAGCAGGCCGAGACCGTGACGCTGCAGTCGGGCCGACCAGGCGGTGGAGCGTCTCGCAGCGCCTCTGCCCGTCTGCGACTCACTGCCGCCCATCAGAGTCCCGGCCCAGCTCAGGTCTCGCGCCGACGTGGGCGGACTGCCGGGCTGAGGGAAACCGGGACCGAGGCCGGGTCGGACAACGGCCTCCGAGGCTAGGCCGAGACCGGCCGGCGCCGAGGCCGGACTGACTGAGAAGCCGCTGTGCAACGAGGAGCCCTGATCGCCGGACGGCAGAAGACCGCTGCCCGCAGTCTGCAAGAGGCAGAGGTCTGTGGGCGCCTCGGCGCCGCAATCCGTCGTCTCTCCTCGCAGACTGGCCTCGCCGGCCGCGGCCAGACTGCATCCGCTGCTCGCCGTGTCGCCCGGGGCTCCCACCAGCGCCTCGGCGTCCGGTGGCCCCGGGGAGCCCGGTTGCCTTGCCGACCGATGACTCGTCGGGTTGACCAAATCCGGAGTCTGACTCATCTGCCGAATCGGCATTAGACCCGCCGAATGTTGGTGCTGATGCTGCAGGTGAAGTTGGTACTGATGCTGCTGGTGTTGCTGGTGTTGCTGAGCATGATGCGGATGTTGCTGTTGTTGCTGCTGCTGCTGCTGCTGAGGATGATGATGTTGCTGCTGCTGCTGCTGTTGGTGTTGCGGCGAGAGGTGGACCTGGGGCGGAGGCAAATGATAATGATGCATGACCGGTGATGTGACCAGTGACCGGCCGGACTGACCGGCGAAGTCCAGACTCAGAGCCGGTTTGAGGTAGACTTGGTGACGCTTGATGGCCAGGCGAAACTGGGCCAGGCCGAACTCGTGGAGCAGAAGAAAACTGCAGAGGGCCGGGATGAAGGCTAGTCCCGTGAGGCAGATCAAGAGCCATGGCGACGTGTGGAAGGGCAGACGAACCAAGAGAAGGAGGTGAGAGGCGGAGTAAGAGTGGAGTGAAGAAGAAGAAGAGGAGGAGGAGGAGGAGGAAGAAGAAGCGGAGGAAGAGGACGAGGAGGCGGCAGCGGTGGAGGAGGAAGAGGAGGAGGAGGAGGAAGAGGCAGATGAGGAGGCTGAAGAGGAGGCTGACGACGACGAGGATGGTGATGACGACGAGGAGGAGGAAACAGCAGCCGCAGCAGCGGCGGCAGCTGCGGCAGCAGCGACAACGGAAGAGGAGGAGGAGTTGGCGTTGGCCGCGGAGACAGCAGCAGCGGATGAGGCGGCAGTGGGCGAGGAGGCGGAAATGGTGTTGGTTGCCGAGAGAAGGGAAGCTTTGCCGACCTGGGCCGAATTGGCCAATAGGAATGGCAGCAAAGGGTCCACAGGCCATGGGTTGTTCAGGCACACGCCCAATTGGACAAGAAGACCAGTGGCGGCGGAATTGACCAAAATGTGCAGCCAAGTTGCCGTGATCAGGCCCGAGGCGAGTAGAGAGATGCGCCGACTCACTCGCCAAAATACCGTTGGCAAACGGACGTTTAGAAAGAGGGCGGCCAAAACGAAGTTGACCAACTCCATG